TTTTTTTCTTTTAAAGTGACACATTATTACTTGAAATGTGTATGAATATACATTACTTTCAAAATAAAAAGCTAACAAAACTAAAAATTAAAACATGCAGCTTCCCATACACAAAAACTCTACAGTGGACATCATACTAGATGGTAAAAGACTGAATGCTTTCCTCATAAGATCAGGAATAAAGCAAGGATGTCCACTCTCACCACTCATATTCAACATTATACTAGAAATCCTAGCCAGTATAATAAAGGAAGAAAAAGAAATAAAAAACATACAGAATGGAAGGAAGAAAGAAAACTATGCCTTTTGGCAGACAACATGAATTGTCTATGTAGGAAAAAAAGAACTTTACCAAAAACTTCTACAATTATTAAGACAGTTTTAAAAGGTTACAGGATATAAGGTCAATACAAAAATGAACCAAATTTCTATATACCAGCAAAGTAAAACTGAAAACCAAAATTTTTAAAAATACTATTTACAGCAGCTATAAAAAGATGAAATGCTGAGAAATAAATCTAAAAAAAATGTACAGAATCTATATGCTGAAAACTACAAAATGATGATGAAAAATATCGAACATCTAAATAAATGGCAAGACATACTATGTTCATGTATATTAAGGTTCAACATAGTAAAGATATCAATGCTTCCCAAAATTGATCTATAGATTTAATGCACTCCTAATCAAAATCTCATGGGGGCTTTTTGCAGATATAGACAAACTAATTCTAAAATGGATATGGAAAAGCAAAGGAACTACAGTAGTCAAAACAATTTTGAAAAAGAATGAAGTTGGAAGAATCATACTACCTAATTTTGAGACTCAGTTTTATAATGCAGGTATTCAGCAGCACTGAAATTAAAAGCACTGTGACTGGGGCCAGCCTACCTGGCCAACTATAAACTCAAATGTAGACTCCACCACTTGATAGCTGTGTGATCTAGGGCAAGTTACCTTACTTCTCTGTGCCTCAATTTTCTCACTGATAATATGAGAATAATAACAGTATCTACCCACTGAGCTGCTGAGACAAATGTGCTAATTTATATAAAGTACTTGACTCACTGTAAGCATCATATAAGTGTTTGCTGTTATTACTCAATAAATGTTAGCTATGTTAAATGAGGACTTATGTATTTTCAGTTTGAAAATAAACCCAATTACTTTAAATATGTGCAAGACTGTATACTGAAAACTACAAAGTATGGCTAAGACAAACTAAAGAAGAGCTACATAATGGGGGATATATATGTTCATGGGTCAGATGACTCAATACTGTTAAGATAAAAATTCTGAAATTGATCTATATTCTCAATATAGTTCCAATCAAAATCTGGGCAGGCATTTTTGCAAAATTTGACAAGCTGGTTCTAAATTTTATATGAAATGCATACAATCTCAAATAGCAAAAACAATTTTGAGAAAGAAAAATTAAGTTGTAATACTTAAACTACCTCATATATAAAGCTACAGTAAACAAGCCTGCATGGAATCAAAAGAAATGAAACCATATGTCCATCCAAAGACTTGTATAGTAATGTTCATAACAGCTGTGTTCATTATAGTCAAAAACTGGAAAAAACCCAAATGTCCATCAACAGGTAAATGGATAAAATATAGTATAACCATACAATAGAAAACCAGTTAGCAATAAATAAGAATGAAAACACAACAACATGGATCAGTCTCAAATAATCATGCTGAGTGGAAGAAGCCAGACCAAAAAAAGTATACATTGTATGATTCCTTTTGCTTAAAATTCTAGAAAATCAATCTCATTTATAATAACAGAAAGCCTAGACACAGTGGGGTAGGAAGAGGAGACTGACTATAAAGGAGCATGAGGGAACTTGTGCAGTGATGACTGTGGTGGTGGTTACACAACTGTCTACACAACTATAAACATTTGTCAAAACTCATAAAATTGTACACTTAAAAGCAGCGAATTTTATTGTAAGTAAATTATGCCTCAATGTAAACAAAATAAAGTCATAAGGCAGCACTGTCTTTTAAGAATAAAAGCATACCTTTTTCCTTCCATACTCATGGAAAGAACACAGGTAAGAACTACCATCCATTTAATATTGTTGAGAAATCTACAATATGAGAATTTTGTAAACCAAGCAAGATGAAACAACCAAAAACAATGCTGATAGTTCTTTTATATCTGTGTCTTCTTCAACTAAAGAATCAAAGGAAATTTTAAAAATAATTTTCCAATTCTGAACAAAAGTACTTATTCTAGACAAAAATTAAGAAGCAAAACAGAGTTTAACTAGGCAATCTGTCGGCATGCTTATAACTGGCCGCAAAGTTATCAGAGCCTGCCAGGTTCCAGAGAACTGCAAAAAAAAGTACAGGGAAGATTTAATAAGATGAGAGAGCTCCTTTGCTCAATTCTACACCTATAGAAATAACCCTGCAAGGATCAAGAAAACAGGAATTGTTCCTTGAAGCTCGAATTATGTCAGTGTAGGAAACATAAAGGAGACATTTCTAATTTTTATCTTATGAAGTTCTCTCAGGGGAGCACTACTTACCTGTTTAATTCTCCTGAGGAAAGATGTTTTCCTCCTTAAGTCTCAAAAAATAAGTATTTTACTTGCTTTATAATATTAAGCACAGTTATTTTTAAGATATACTTTTAAAAATCCATATTATATGGATTTTTTAAAGTATATCTCCATGTTGATCAAAACTTAAACTTTAAAAACAAAATCTGTAACATAAGCAATAAATAAGGACATGAACATTTTCAGGGAGAAAATAGGCAGTGCCAGCAATTTTCAAGTTCAAATAACCATAGCAATATGTAAGTACTATGCATATTATATGCATTTGGTTAGTTCTAAGGCAGTTTGCTACTCTATCTTCTAATTTATACTGTCATAAAAGTTAGTTCAGTAAATAGTTCACAGCTTAAGATAATTGAATATCTCAATTTAGTTAACTTTTCCTTTTGTAAAGTAAGAATACGATCAATTTTCATACTCAGTGTTACCTATTCAAGTTCCACACACATTCATACCTCCAGGCCTTTATGGGCTCTATCCCATTCACCTTCTATGCCCTCTCCTTTTCTGGATTCTTCCAAATTGGTGCATGTTTCCTCTCTCTGTCTTCTGAATTCCCACAGCTCTTTTCCGTACTGTGGTAACACATTTAACACTTTCTATCTCATACCATACTTCTCTTGGTGTTCTTTTTCTTTTGTTTTCTTTTTGTTGGTGGTGGTTTGGGGTTTTTAATTTGTTATTTTTTATTTTTTAATACAGCATTTCTTTACATACAGTAAACTCTTCTACTATGTACCTTTGAAAGGAAGGTCCATGCTTTATTCAGGCTTGTATCTCTCATAGTACTTAGTGCTTGGAACTAAATATTTATTCGGTGTGCTGCCTAGAATGGAGAAGAAAACATTCAACAATATTTTTTAGGCACTATGTACCATGCATTGCCTTAGCTGACAGAAGAGGAAACAAATACCAATGAAAGAAACCTGCTCTAAATCTACTAAGAGACAAAGACATGTAAACAGAATACAATATAATGTTGGTTAAGTGTTATGATAAGGGATAAATAGGGTACTGTGAGGGGAACGTTACTATGTTGAAAATTGTTCTGATCCATAAACTACATGTTAAGAGACTAATTCTATATTTTTGAAGGGCCCAAGGACTAGAAAAGATTTAAGAGTGGTATAATAAGAGTCTCAATCTCACAAAATGTCTTACACAACCTGAAACTAACACTCCACCTATATAACAACCTTACCTGCAAACAGGGAGCAGCAAAATTCCCCCTAGTCTCAGTAAAGCAATCTGCAATAACCAGGCCTGGTCTTCTCATTATCTTTAAACAAATTTGCTCATCCTACCTTCTCACATTTGTCTGAATTGTGCACCATGTCCATACACCACGTGCCATTCCCATGCCCCAAACTCTGCTCATACAAATCTACTTACTGATAGTGATCTCTATCACACCTGATCACTACATCCTCCAAACGTATATTGCCCTATTACTACTTCCTCTGTATCTCTCTTCTTTAAAAATTAATGATAATGATAAAGTTAGCATTTTATATAACTTGGAGTTAAGCAGAACTGGTTTCAAATCCCAGATCTGCTAGTGCCTTGCAAGTAAAGTTGGACAACTTACTAAACTTCTCGAACCTCAATTTCTTCTTCATTAAAATGAGAATGAAATTGGATGATATACAAAATACATACCCATACACACATACACTGCATACATATAGACTCATTTAATTTTATTATTCTTACTTTCTTACAAAGGAGATGCAAGCTCTCTTTAAAACTCAAGATGAAAGCATTGAAACATAAACAAAATAGGTATTAAAAATTGGATCAATTAGTTGACGTAAAGGGGCTTCACAATTTTTAAATGTGCCCTCAAGGCAACTCACATAAAATACCCTCAGAAGATTTTTTTCATGTCTCCGACTAAAAAACATGAAAAACTCGGAGGCAAAGACACAGTACTAGGTTAGTGGCCTAACACTGACACCTTTCCCCAGTCTGTCTCCCTCAGAGCAAACCCGAAGCTGAATAAAAGGTCAATAAAAGAAATATCTTTTAACTATTGCATAAGCCAAACAACACATAAATTAACGTTTCTGAAGTCTGCATTACCCCTCTGTAGCAAGCAAAACCACTTCTGCAAATTTCGAACTCAGAAGAGAAAGTACATATGGGATGGGGGCTGAGTCATCAATTGAAAACGATCAACCACTGCTCCACCCCAGAATGGGGACTCCACTGCGACCTACTCCAATGGAGCCCTGGGCACCCCACGCACGGCCAACTACCCAAGCCTTCCCGAAGTCCCTACCTCCAAAGCGTGTCCCGCCACCAGGCGCACCCAGTACCACCCCCGGTTCTGACATGGGGTCAGATACCACCGCACCAGCGTCCCCAACCCGGACGTCAGGTCCCAATCCAGACTCCAATCCTCGCCTGACACTGGCACTCACCCGGGCGGTGACCTTATACACCGTGTAGCCCCTCGGGTGCCGCTGGGGCTCGGTGACAGTGTAGAAACGGGCCAGGTCGGCACTCGGATTCCGGGGAGAGGTCATCCTCCCGCTGCCTCTGTCGCCGCCGCCCGCCTGGGATCATCAGGGCAACCCGGCGCCGCCGCGGTCCGGGTTCCCCACGCAGCACCTCAGCGGCGAGGGGGCGGTGGCTCCCAGCGGCGCCTTTGACCCGCAGCTCTGCTTCCGGGTTGGTAAAAGGGCTTCCGGGTCAGGCCGTCTTCTGCATCCTGGGAGTTGGAAGACCACCGTAGTTAGATTCCGGTCCACCTCCCGGCCTGGGGCTGACATGTGGAAGAACATCGGGAGGTCACACCGCCACCCCCATCACTGCGGAGACCTGAGACTCTTCCACAAAGTCTCCTAAGGCGGTAGCTCGGCCACCTTATAGATTTTGTGAGAGCTGTTATAGCCAGCCACAACCCCAAACTTGTACAAATTTATGTTTCGTTGTAAAGAGATAGAGAGATACTGCAGCGAGCATCTGTTTTCCTTCCCTACTCCCGGTTCTATCATTTTAAATACCTACAGCAACATCTCAACACCCTCTCAGCCATATCCTTTCCTTCTTTTTAAGACGAATCCCCTTAGCCTGTGCGCCTGTCTTTCTATAACACACCTGCACAGCGAGCCCCCAACCGTATATCAGTCTTTTTTTTAAAATCGCAAATTCTAAAATCTGGAGTCTGGGTCTGGCTGGGAAAAAAAAAAATCATACAACCTTTCCAAACCACTACAAAGATAGTTTCCAGTTTCAGCTGGTTGCTGCCTACTGCTTGGCAATTCCTTTACCTTTTTTTAATCAGAGTTCTTTCTCATGCCTCAAAATATTGATTCCAAGTCTTTGCCATTCTCCTCAATCCTCTGCTCCTCTTCATCTTGCCTCCCTCCTCTCTGCCCCACCTATCTTCTTTACAGGGAAAGAAGAAAAAGAAGCCACAGCCACCACCGCTCTTAATACCAATTCCTTCATCTCACATTTCCATGCCAATCTGGGAGGTAGACATATCCCTTACTCATTTTTAGGACTAGTAACTCCACTTGTGCACAGAATCCCACCCTCGTTGACAGACCTAAGACATTGTTCCATCAATGACATCCCAATAGTGAGAGGCTGGTTAATAGACACAAAAGTACAGCGAGATAGGAAAAATAAGCCCTATTGGTGGACAGTCAATCCAGAAATCTATAATCAATAATAATTTACTACATGTAACCAAATGACTAGAAGAGAGAGTTCAAATGTACACATCACAAAGAAATGATTACATTTTATAATGATGAATAGGCTAATTACTCTGAATAGATCAGCACACATTGTATGCATATATACAAATATAACTCTGTATCCCATATGTATGTACAATCAATATGTTTCAATAAGAAAAAAATTTGTAATGACATCCCAGCTCTCCTTTCTGTGTGTTTAATCTCTTTAATCTCTTCACCACTGGCTCCTTCTCCCCAGCCTGTATATTCCTCAATCTGTCTATCATTCATTCACTAAACTTGAATTCACCACCTATTATATGCCAGACATCATGCTGATTAGGCTTTGGAGTTACAAAGATAGTCCCTTCTCTCAAGTACCATCTAATAGGAAAAATAAAGAAGAAACAATTAAAATATATTGTGATAAGTACCATGACAGATGTACATATGGAATGCTATAGAACATTTCTAATTCAGAATGTAGATTAAGGCTTTCCAATAGAGGGGAAACTCAGGCTGAATCTTGGAAGAGAGATGGGAGTTAGCCAGGCAGAGAACGGGGTAAAGGACATTATTCATGTTGCCTTCTCTTCCTTTTCTTTCTCTTTCCTTTCAATGTCAAAGTTGTTTACGTTGTTTTTTAAATAATCTGTATCAAAATTACATCACCCATTTATTTCCATATCCACTTCAATCTGACTTCGCTACTATGTTGCTACTCTGAAAGGGATCTAAAAAAAGTTTCTAATGACCTCATGTTACCCAATATTTTCAGACTTTGAAAGTTTCTCACCATGATCACCTTTGTGAAACTCTTCTAAGTCCTAGCGTATGAGTCAGCATTATATCTCCTTTTTCTTTTACACTCAGATCATTCACTCCATTTCAGTCTCCTTTGGTGGTTTTTCCTCCTTCCGGGAACCTTTAATGTTCTTGTTTCTTATGATTTTGCCTTTGAGCCTCTACTCTTTATTCCTATTGACTCACAAATCTATATCTCCAGACATATCTCTCTTTCTGGGCTTGACTCTTTTTACCTATGTCCTTACCTCATATATCCGGTTAACACTGAAAACAGAACAGATCAAAATCTGAACTTTTTTTTTTTCCTCTGATAAGAGAAGATGACTTGTTTTACTATGCATTTAATTACATTAGCCAGGTATTTGGAAGTCATTCTTAGCAACTTCCTCTACTACCTTCTCTGAGTTTCTTTGATTAATCAAGTGCCATTGTTTAAAAATAAAAGAATGATACTATAGTTGAAAAGAAAGTCATGATCCACACATAGTCATTTGATTTTTGATGATTTCCAAGGTAATTCAATGGAAAAATAATAGTTTTCCTCAACAAAAGATGCTGAAACCATTGGACAGCCATGGAAGGAAGGAAGAAGGGAAGGGAAAGAAAAACAAAAGGGAAGGGAAGGGGGGGAAGGGAAGGGAAGAAGGAGGGAAAGGAAGGAAGGAAGGAAGGAGAAAGAAAGAGGGAGGGGGGAAGGAGGAGGAAGGGAAGGAGAAGGAAGGAATGAAAGGAAGGAAGGAAGGGAAAAGAAAAGGACCTCGACCCTTATGACCTGCATCATGTACAAATAGCAACTTAAAGTGGCTCGTAGTCATAACTATAAATCCTAAAACTATAAAAATTCTAGAAGGAAACAGGACAGACTCTTTGTAATCTTGGATTAGGCAAAGTATTATTAGGTAACAAAAAGTATGAAGTATAAAAAAAAGATCATTAGACTGTCAAAATTTAAAATTTCCACGTAGTAGGATACAAGATTAATAAAAATTAATTGTATTTCTATACACTAGCAATGAATAATCTAAAAATAAAATCAAGAAAATAGTTCCATTTACAATACCATCAAAAATAATAAAATATTTGGGATAAAATTTAACCAAGGAAATGTAATAATTTCACACTGAAAACTATAAAATGTTGAGGGAAATTCAAGAAGACCTAAATAAATAGAAATTCATCTCATGTTCATGGATTAGGATATTGTGAAGATGGCAATAGTCCAGATTTATCTATATAGTCAATACAATCCCTATTAAAATTTTAACTGTTTTTTTTTTCCTTTGGAGAAATAGAGAAGCTGGTCCTAAAATTCATGTGAAAACTCAAGACAGTCAACAGCAAAACAATCTTGAAAAAGATTGGAGAACTCATACTTCCTGATTTTGAAACTTTCTACAAAGTTACAGTAATTAAGGCAGTGGGGCACTGGCATAAGGATAAATATATAGATAAATGGCAATAGAGTTGTGAGTTCAGAAATACACCCATACATTTACAGCTAAGTGATTTTCAACAAGAATCCCAAGATCAATCAATGGGAGGGTTAGATGGGAGGTGGGAATAGTCTTTTCATTGAATGTTGCTGGGAAAACTGAATATCCACATGCAAAAGAATGAATTTGCATAATACCACATACTAAAATTAACTCAGTATGGTTCAAAAACTTAAATATAAGTATGAAGCTTTTGGAAGGAATCATAAGTCTATATCTTCATGATGTTGTGTTAGGAAACAATTTGCTATGACACCAAAAGCATAAGCAACCAGAGTAAAAATAGATAAACTGGACTTGATCAAAATTAAATGCTTTTATGTGTCTAAGGACACTATCAAAACAAAAAGAGAATCCACAAAATGGGATAAAATATATGCAAATCATGTATTTGATAAAGGCCTTATATCTAGAATATGTAAAGAACTCTTACAAGTCAAGAATAAAGGGACAAATAACCCAATTTTTAAATGGGCAAAGAATATGTATTTCTCCAAAGATGCTATACAAAAGGCCAATAAGCACATGAAAAGATATGTCATTAGTCATCAGGGAAATGCACATCAAAACCACAATGAGATACTACTTCACCCTCACTACGATGGTGTTATGGTCTGAATTGTGACTCCTCAAAAATTTATATAATAAAATGCTAGTACCTTAGAATGTCACTATTTGGAGATAGAACCTTAAAAAGAGGTAATTAAAGGTAATTAAAGTATAATGTGCTTACATGGGTGAGCCCTAATCCAGTATGGCTGGTGTCCTCATAGAAGAGGGATTAGGATGCAAATACACACAAAGGAAAGACCATATGAACACACAGAGAGAAAGATGGGTGTAGCAGATTGAATTATGCTCCTCCAAAACTCATTGAAGCTTGAATTGTGTCCCCCAGGTTTTATGTATTAGAAACTTAGCCCCCATTGTGACTGTTAAGAGGGTGGGAAATCATATCATGGTAATTGAAAGGTGGAGTCTTAAAGAGGTTGTTGGATTGTAGGACCCTGTAGTAGTGAATGGATTAAAAATAGTGGTCAAGGGCATGGTTCTAAGGGCTTTAAAAGAAGAGGAGGGTCTTTCTTTCTCTGCTCTCTCCACTCTCTCTGCCTCCACCATCTTGCAATGTGAGACCCCTGGGTCACTGTCGCCACCACCAGATGGACTTTGGACTTCCCAGCCTCAGAAACTGTAAGCAACAAATTTCATTTTCTTTATATAATACCCAGTTCCGTGTACTTTGTCGTAAGCAACAGAAACAGCCTAATATAATGGGCATCTACAAGCCAGTGAGAGAGGCCCTCAGAAGAAACTGACTCTGCTAACACCTTGATCTTGGACTTCTATTCTCCCAAACTATGAGAAAATTAATTTCTGTTGTTTAAGCCACCCAGTCTGTGGTACTTTATGACAGTCCAAGACAGATTGCTATTTTTAAAAAATTAACAATAATAAGTGTTGACAAGAATGTGGAGAAATTGCAACTTCATACATTGCTTCTGGGAATTTAAAATGATGCAACTCCTGTGGAAAATT